TTATCTTTGTCTTGAAATGGTAGTATAGAGTAGCATGGTGTATAAATTAAAAAATATATCTTTTGTTTTATACATGTAGACATGAAGGTGCATCTCTAATGTGAGGGTACACCCATGTGGACCATACTCCCTTCATGACTTACGTTATTTTGTGAAGGGAAGTCGAGAGATGTTGCACATCTTCATGAGGGGGTTACCCTCCTATGAATGGCATGCATCGTGCATTTTAAAAGTGCCCATTTATGATGAGGTTATTCCAACATGAATGAGATGATAATTTTTCTTACTATAAAAGGGGATTGGGTGGGGCACAACAATACACACGAGAAAGTGTGAGAGCTCCTCTTGAGAGAGAGAAAATGAGAAAGTACAATCCCTCTCCATTTGAGTTTTAAGGAGAGACCAGCTTTAAGAGATAGAGTTGTGTGTGAGAGTTGAGCTCAGATTGCTCATTATATTGCATTTGTGAGAGTATTTGTGAGTTTTTATCTCGCTCGGGATTTACGGTGTGGAATCGATTTCGACAACTCTAGTAGTTATTGAACTTGCTAACACGAGTTGATCATCTCGCTCCAAATTTGTTCGTTGAAACTCTTTTGTGAGAACTCATGTATGATACTCGGTTCCTGGTTGTTTATTTTGCTTTCGTTTCGGTCGTTGAGCCATTTATTCCAATATTGGTATCAGAGCCGTAGTGAATCGGGTTTCCAATTGTGCCCGCGTTATCGTTTTCGTCGTACTTGTGAAGGCTTGGCCATAATGTTACAAAGCGCACCTGTTGTATTAAGACCATGGGCAGGTGCACTATGTAACCTTATGTAGCAGCTACATAGTCATGCAGGCCTTACACATTGAGGAGTTGCTAACCTTATGTATGGGCTACACAAGTTGATGCTTCCTTGATCATGAGCGTCATGGCTACTTGATTTTTATAGGCATCACATGCTAAGCCATGCATGACAAACCCTACTCAGTTTTTTGACGTATTAAGGCTGCATATAATTTTTTTTTGTGGGAGTGCATTTGGGAAGGTGCGTCGCTTGCAAATTGTGAGGTATTTGAGTTGTTAGATTCAAAAGAGAAACTTAGTATTGATTTCAAGCAAGAGCTCAATGTAGCCACGTGAAACTTTTATATCAAGGCAGAATGGGTCAAGTTTTTCAAGTAGCTAGACAATGAACAAGTGTAAAAATGACCATCTAAGTTTAATAATGGATCAAACAAACCATCAAGCATCCATATTAATCAGTACAATTTTTTTGTCTTGAACTTAAAATGACTTCTAAAAATGTGATTGCAAATCTCACTAAAAGTGAAAAATTGACTGGGAGCAATATTCCTATGTGACATAGAAAAATGCAATACTTTCTAAATGAGCAAGGTACTCTTGAACACCTAACTACCAATAAGCAAAAACCTAAATAAGGTATCACAAAGGAACTTCTCCGTGAATATGACGCATGGGATAATGTTGATTGTAGCACTCGCTTTGCTTTGCTAAGTGCTATGGTTGATGACCTCATTCGTGCATTCGAGAGATTCACCATGACGAAGGTCATATGGGATGCGCTTCAGCAGAAGTATGCTGACACTTATGCTGCTCGGGTATGGGCCTTATCTATGGCTTTTGAGATATAAAATGCCTCCAAATGTATCGATGGTAGGGCATTTATGAAAAGTTTATCAAATGATATGTGACCTTGAAGCAGCTGGAAACAAACTCAGTTACGAGCAACAATGCTCGGATTGCTTAGGTATCTTCCAGAATCCTCAGAAAATATCAAGTCACTGATGTTGCACAATGAAGCTATAACATCTTTTTCCCAACTTTTCTATCACCTTGAGATAGAAGCTGAGTTTCACTCATCTTCTCGAGTTGGAACCATTCTACTTGAGCCTAAACCTCGAGGTACGTCAAGGACTGGGGCACCTCAAAGGAAGAAGCAACATAAGCAAGAGGCAGAGGAAAAGAAAGAGGCCAGACAAAGATGAGGGATGCGCACAAGGGACAAATATAAAATAATTTGCTACAATTGCGAGAAGAAAGGTTAGTATGTGCACGAATGTCCAGAACCTAGGAAGGCACAAACTAATTTCCCTAGCTATGCAAATGTTTGCACTTAAGTACTTGTTGCTCCTTCACAATTTACTAGGTGGATTGTGGATCAAGGGCGACAATGCGTATAACGAGGGATCGAGAATGGTTCGTTGAGCTTCAGACTTTGTCGGTTGGAAGTCAAAATATTTTCATGGGGAATTGTACATCAAAGGATGTTCTAACGGTTGAAACTTGCCAACTCTGATTTTGAAGTGAACGAATCCTTTTTCTACATGATGTCCTCTATGCTCCCGGAATGAGAAAAATTTTACTTTCAATTTTATGTCTAGTTAGAGACAATTTCTTTGTCACTTTTATGCCTAATTATGCTGCATTTACATTTCAGAATGGTTTTCAGTATTATGGTTGGATTATGAATGACTTGTTTGTTTTTTGATAATGATGATCTTAGTGTTTCACGTCTTTCTTCTTATATGACATATTCATCTTTTCCCACCTCTTCTACCTCTTATGTCACAGACAACTCTTTGTTGTTGCATGCTAGGCTTGCCCATATAAGAAAAGATGGATCATCGGATTAACCAAATGAGGATTGTTGCCATTCTCCAAAATAGACATACCTCTTTGTGAACCATGTATAGCTAGAAAATCAACTAGAAAGCCATTTCCTAAAACAAAGAGAGGAACCGGTCTTCTAGATATAATATATTCCAGCATTTGTGGTCCGTTTAATGAAGATGGTTCCCATTATTTTATTGCATTTATCGATGACTATTCTAATCTTGCATAAATCGCAAGCAATATATTGCTTTTGCAATTTTATGCTAGAGGTTGAAAATCAGTTGAACAAAAGAATTAAGATTCTTCGCAGTGATTGAGGGCATGAATACTTATCTGATAAATTTAAAAACCTTTGTGGGATAAGGGAATTCATAGACAAGAGACAATGTTCTACACACCATAATAAAATAGTGTTGCAGAAAAAAAGAATCGTACTCTGTCGGACATAGTGAGGTATATAATGGCTCATGGCAACCTCCTAATATCATTTTGGGGAGATGCTCTCCTTACTGCGATGTATGCCCTAAATAGAGTCCCATTAAAATCCATTCTCAAGGCCCCTTATGAGTGATTGGGAGGTAGAAAGCCAGATCTTTCCCATTTATGTCCTTGGGGGTCAGCTGTACACGTTCGCATTCCTTCTTAGGTGATTGGGAAACTGGACAAGCGGTCTGTCGAGTACATTTTTGTCAGATATTTTGAGCACTCGAAGGGATATGTATGTTGTTAAGTACATGATTGTGGTGGGATGAAGAAAATAGCATATCGTGATGTAGATTTTATAGGGACGAAATTCCTTGACAGGAAACAGTCTCGCATGTCTGCAGAGCTCTATGAAGAGCATGAATCGCAAACAGATATTGAGGTGGTTACCCACTTGAGGGTAACTCCCACATTCACTTTAGGGTAATAGTGGGAGTTTTCCCATGATTGTTAATAATAGTAGGAATGAGCCACCAATTGAGAATAAGCAAATGATCGAGATTTGATTCACCAACCCTGTTAGAAGCACCTATTGAAAGTGAATCGCAGGTCAAAATTCAAAGGAGTGAACGTGAAAAAGTTCCTCGTAGAC